GGCTCCCGAGACGTGTTTAAAATAAAGTGTGATCATTATTAAAGTTTATGAATGATAAACTATTTAACATCCCGACGTAATTTTGTCGCAACAGGTATTAACACTAATCGACTCGAAAGTAAAACTTATGTTGGATCAATAACAAAATTTTTAGATAGATTTCCAAATCAATTACGTAAGTTTATTATTTTTTAAAAAAAAAGTAAATAAACAATCCCATAATTTTTTTAAATTCCTTGGGCGTTATTTTAATTCGTACCTCTACTGAAATGGCATCAACCGTAAATAATAATAATGTCGGATAGCGCGTAATCTCGTATTTACACGTAACGTTCAATTAAAAAACATTTATTCATTTAGTCAAACATTTATTTACATGGAGGATTTTAAAAATATGATTTTTTAAGAGTTAGAGTATAACGTTATTTGTTTACAAAAATTTGCTATTTGCAATAAAGAATTTATTTTGTTTACGTTACTGTCTTACGTTAGGTATGTGATTTGCTACTTCAATTAAGTTTTACTTCAATTAAGTTTTACTACATAATATTAAGTAATTCAAAAATACTTTTATTTAAACTAGGATGCAGTTACAAACTTAAAACTGTTTAAATATTTTAAATTTCACGATTAAAAGTTTCTTCTATTTTCGTTGGAAGAAACTTCTCATTCCTGATTAAAAACAAAGATAAAATATCCTTTAAAAATGTTATAAATCTTTTAAATCTTATAATAATAATATTTAAATCTTTTAAATCTCTTTTGTAACTTTCAAAATTAGTTAAATAATATAATTATTGAAAGAGTTAATAATGTAATTATGAAAGTTTCTCAAAGTTTATTTTTATCTAATCGTTAAATACATTATGTTCCCTACAATCAAAAGTATAAAAATATGTTTTCTACACTTTATTTTAGTTTTAGTTTAAATTATTTTCTGTTACCTGTGCAAATAAACTTGTATCTATGCAGATGTTTTTATTCATTATTTTAATTTTCTATTTACCATTTTTAACACTAGAAAGACTAAAACTTAGTATATACCATATTGCCCAAAAGCAGTCAAAATGACTAGATTGTGAAATAACTAATTTGTAAAGATATGTTTAAAATTAATTTAATATTTTTTATATTATTTATAGTTATATAACAAGTTATTAGTAAATATTAACAATAAAAAATTTATATGTTGTAGAAAAAGTCACAAAATTCTAAGAAATTGTGTCATATATGTAACACAACATTTTATCATATCTTAATAAATCATTGTTTTTTTTAAATTGAAATTAAAAAGCAGTCAAAATGATAACTTTGGGCAATCTAGTGTTAATAATATTCCAAAAATTTTTATAAAAATATATTCACTAAAATCTTTTATAAATGGAATGTTAAATATTTTTTATTACTTATTTAATGCTGCAATGTGCCAATAAGAATATTTTAAACTCTGTCAACTTAAAATAATTGTTAAAAAAATAATTTATTAATGTATCTTTGGGCAGGGCAATTCGAGGGTTAAGTCAACCAAATTAGGAAAAATTCAAAATAAATATTTTTTAGTAAACAAGGAGTTTAAAGATAAAAAGTTGAAGATTTAGAAATATTTGATAAATTTATTTTCCAATTAGTTACAGGTTGTTGAATGAAAAATATCATCTGAAATTTTTAGTCCATTGACTTTAAAAGAAATTCAGATTTAATTTTTTTTTTTATTATAAATTTTTATATTACATCTTTTATAAATTAATTAAGCCTTCAAAATAATTTAAAATAGCATATTTCACTTCCGTAAGCTAATTTCATGTTCTGTTTTACTAAGGTGTCTGTTATTTTAAATGAATTATAAAAAATTATATTCTGTATATTCTCTAAACCTATTCACTCTTTTTGAATTTAATCGAACACAAACATCACTGCCGGATTTACGTATAAGCTAAATAAGCTGTAGCTTGGGGCCCCGAGATGGCATGGGCCCCCAGATCCAACTTTTTCCTTCTTTTTTTAAAGTTTTATTCGGAGCTGGAGCCCTCTGAAGCCTAAAATACATTTTTTTTTCTTTTTTGCATTGGCGAACGCTTTTCAAAATCTAATGGAAGTGTTTACAAGTGATGGAAGTAGTCCATGGATCCTAAAAAGCGGTACTCCATGGAGTAGTCAAATAGCCGCCTCAATTTACACTGTGGGAAATGTTTTCAGCTTCTTTAAATTGCTGTGGGCTCTTTTGTCCACAGAAACACCCTTTTGTCTGATTTCTGGGCAAAAAATTTCTAGGGCTGTGGGAGAATCTTGTTTAGGGTCACTCTGTTTCGAGATTTCCGTTGTGTCTCATTGTCGTTAAAGAGCTTCTCGTTTAATTTTAACTTTTCTTTTTTGCAAAATATATTTTTTCCAATTTATTACAAAAGCTTTTTTTCCTTTTAATTATCCTAAATGTTTTAACTAGCTTAATTGTTTAATTTACTTAATTATTGTAATTGATTTTAATTTGTTATTTTCCAAATTAATCGTACATGAATCCGTGAACTCCTTTCTTTCTTTATTTATTTAAATAGTGGGCCACCATTCAATTCCCTCTTTGACAGGCTCATCTGCCAAAATTTTTGATGTGGTTTATTTTGGATGAAATTGAGATAACAGATGTAATTTTACTTACTGCTAATAAACAGAAGCAACATGTGATATTGCTTGATAGAGCATTGAAATCAAGTGATCATCAGCTAAACAAATGTTTTAATATATATGTAAAAAATATTGTTCAAACCTCCTGTCTGACCTAATTTTCCATGTATCCCCGAAATATGAATTATGTTTAATTTGTAAAATATGATATTTCGTACACAAAATTCTTTTATTTAGTTAGCTTATGCTTTTATTGTTTATTGATCATACTTGTTTCTATTTTTAACTCCCTGATTTTTGTTGTTATTATGTGTTTACAGTTAATAAGGCATCAAAATTTTTTAATTTATAAGGATTTCAAATTTTTAAAGCAAAGTTGAAATAACTTCTTAAAATTGCAAATTAGATCTATTTATAAAATTTTGGCAGATTTGTTTTTATTTTAAATCTGTGCATTTAATTTAATAAAATAAAAACAAATAAAAAATAAGTTAAAAAAATATAAATAAATGGCTAGATTAAATATAAAACTGTGTTGTCAATGAAAAAGAACATATCTTTTAAACAATTTGAGTATTAATAAATTATTTAAAAATAAACAATTTTAAAAAGTAGAAAAGTTTTTTGATTTGTTTAAAAGGCAAATTTTGTCCCATCATTTGATCAAGAGACTATTTAAAATCTGTTTCTAAGAAGCAGTCGGTCGCGTGTGGGTGTGTGGATGATGTAAGTAAAAGAGGCATACAAAAAAAGTCAATTTAACTTCAGTTAATGCCCTCGATATTATATTTTTAAACTCCTCGCAAAAATGTAGTAAAAAAGTTATACAAATTAATTGTAGCAAACAAATTAATATTAAGTAAGAACGAATCAAAAATGATATCGAAATATGCTGAATCACTAATGAGACAGGCAGGATGAAAGACATCGAAACCAATTTGATTAAATAGTAAAACTAGAAAGTGTTTCAAAAATCCGGACATGTATCAGGCTTCAATATTTTTCTTATTGCCACAAAATTTATCAGGGACAATTCGTTAGATTTCAATACGGGTTTTTCTTTAATTAAATATTAACTAATATTTGTCTTTCCAAGCTTTTCATTCTGTAATAACGAATGTCAAGCATTTAAAGTATCCAGTTCAAGAATGTCAAGTATCCAAATAACTTCATTTATTAAATTAAAAAAAAAAAAATATAATAATAATTAAATATCCGCAAGGCAGGTGTGTATATTTGGGGCTGATGATTATGAAATCTAACACAAAACTGTGAGATCGCGGGTTCTATTCCAGCTGATGACAGTTTTTAATTATTATTTCTTAATACTGAAAAATGTATTTCTTATTTTTTTAAAGTATGCACTTTAAAAGCTAATAATTTAACAAGTATTTAAAAAAACTAGAAAGTTACACCCCCTGTTCATTTTGCACACTAACCCTCACGGTTGCTTCTGATTAATCATTGCAGATTAAGAGGAAAAATGGTTTATTTCCATCTTTTTATTCTACAAAAATTACGATTGAATTTCTATTTACATTTTGAAAATGACTAAAATTTGGCAAATCAAGAAAAATTGGTACCTCTTGCAGAGTTATTACCCAGTGAAGATGGAGTCAAGGGCACTGAGTTCGAATCCCAGTGTTGACTGGTCGATACGAATTCTTCACCCGGCTTACACCAGCCACTGTGCCGAAGTAAAATATCCTCAGTGGTAGACGGATCATAGGTCCCCTTGTTGTCAGACTGACAGTGGAAAGCTTTTGTGGTTTTAATCATCATGTAACTTAAATGCTGGTCAGTTCCATCAAAACGTCCCCCTTCAAGACAAAAATTTCTTCCAATACTTGATCCTGGAGTTCCCTTGTGTTCTGAATTGAGTTTAAAATTAGAAGTCTAATAAGTTGAACATTAGCAGTCGTAAACTCGAAATTGGGTTGGCTGTTCAATGACTATTATAAAATAAACTAATAATTTGGCCGGGATAGCCTGGTTGGCAGGGAGTTGAAGTCGTGTTTGTGAGAATGGGATTTCAAATCCAGCCGGCCGAAGAATACCCATGTATAAAATGGTGACTGGTGCATGTTAAATCTGCCGTGGTCACAAAGGAGTATATATCAATCAAGGAAAATAACATAAAGTGGTCGCATCAATACAGGCATGTTTAATGTAGCAAAATTGTTTCCCCCCCCCATTTTAATTTTAGCGTAACTAAGTTTTTAGTATGCATCAAGATTTTTATTTCAATAATAGATAATGGTGAATTAAATAAGGAATGGATTATTAACTATCCCAGGCTTCTAAAATATCGATAAAAATATTTCGGATACCACTTTGTTTCTTCTTATTCTGATAATAGACATTATGAAAATGTCACTTACCTGGTTTTTCCATTAAGCCCTTGAAATTTATTTGTGACATTTCATTTCTTCCACTTTAATTAAATCAATTCAAGTACAAGCATTCAGAATGTAGACCTTGAGAAAGAAAAACGGATAAAGTATTATTTACAGCAAAAAATTTAAATATATATTATATATATACACACATATATAATAAAAATCTTTCATATCATACATAAACAGCATATCCTTACAGCATGTCAAATTTCAACTCAGTAGTTTAATTTCAGTGGGCAGTAGATCATCACACATGGTTATTTTTTGAAATTAGTTTTTGCCAGCTAAGTTTTGTTGAACTAAGTTTTTTTTGTCCCATTGCACTCCTTGTACATTTTTATACACACTTTCGTAGTTATAAGTTTTTATCAATACTTTAGAACAAATAAAAATTTTTTAAAGAAAGTTATGCCAAGTTCATTAAAAAGGGCCCTTTCAGTATGTGAAGTCTACAATTGCATTATAATGATAAAGAATTTTTTAAAAAAGATAGACCCCTTAATTTACTTTTAAGTATAGATATTAACCAAAGAAATAATTGAGATAATTTTATTTCTTAATACTGGAAAGATACTACTGAGAATAATACTTAAAAGTTCAGAAGTTATCAGCAATATTTGATGTGAAATTTCAGGTAGGAGATGTAAACATCGCTGATGTTTCTTATAATGTGGCAGTTGCTTGTTTACAAAAGCTCTGTATGTCAACAAAAGATGACTGGAGAAATGTTAAGGATTTACAGATATTTGCACGCCACAAGTGATGTTAGCTTCATATACAAGTGCATAAACTGTTGACAATAGAACAATCCCATATTGTCTTGTGTATTTCAGGTGCTGCCAAGTCACAGTGTTCTTTTTCCATTAAAACTACGAAAGCAAGCCCTTCAACTCTAAGAAACTATTTTTTTCTGATTGGAAGATGACTGATGCAGCTCAAGTTGTGACAGCGGATGATTACAACTCTGAAAGTTAGTTCCGATATTGGCTACATCAGAAGACAAAGGTAGGCTTTTTTGTTTTCACCTTAAATAATTACTATTTACATTTATTTACAATTTATGCACGACTAGTTTAGGTTAACAGCTTAGAACTTGGAAACTCGGTTATAATGGACTCAAATTTCATTTCTTTAAATATCTTTTTCAGTCCTCCATCTTTAAACTTGTAGGTGTTGGGACTGAAAATGAATGCATTCCTATAAAATGTGTCATATTACTCTCCTTTATGCTTATCACTTTTAACTATACTGTAATAAATGTCAAACAGATCATTTATCTTATACTCCCCCCTTCCTGCCAAGTCTCGCTTTATCTCTTTTCCCCAAGCTTGCTCTACAACTAGTTAACTTGGCCACCTGCTGAATTTTTGGAATTTTCTTATCTGTTCAAACCATATTCTTTACAAATCACCCCTTGACAATCAAGAAGGGGAACAATTTAACTCATTCTACAGCTGCTCTCTTCATATTCTTACATTATCTATTTGAGACAAGATTTTTATTTCAAAAGCAGTGAAAATGGCAAATTCTCTAAAGAGAAAAGCGTTTTCGATAGAGGACAAAGTTAAAATTGTAAAGCGTATTGATGATGGAACCAATCAATCGACACTGTGTAAGGAATTTTGCTTGTCAAAATCTACAGTTTCAAACATTTGGAAAAATCGAAGTGCAATTCTTGCGGCATACGACAAAAACATGGTTTCATCGAAAAAACTGCGTGGAGCTGAAAGA